ACCTTGAAGAGCTTCATTGAAAAAGATTGAGTTTATGATTTTTTGGCAGGATTGAATCTTGAATTTGATCAGGCTAGAGTTCAAATCCTTGGAAAGTCGGACACACCAACTCTAGAAGAAACTATCTCATTAATTCGAGCAGAAGAAAGTCAGAGAAGTGTTATGCTTGAACCACACACCACGAATGGGTCAACCCCGGTGGCAAACCATCAGGGGAAAAGAAGGAATGATCTGCTCAAATACCCGGGTAGAGGAAAACAGTGGAATGAAAACAACCTATTGCAATAAACCGAGACACGAAAAGGATAAATGTTGGAAATTAAATGGTAAACCTCCAAGCCGAGAATGGGGGAACCATGAGAGGCAGCAGAGACCTCAGGCGCACATGGTGGAGCAGCCCAAAACAGAGGAAAACCTCAAAGCAGGAGGATTTAACAGTGAAGAAATTGAACGACTAAGAAGCTTATTGGAGTTTCTTGAAAAGCCTTTTGGACCTGCTCTTTGGCCCTTTCAGGTAACCTTTCAATTTCTTTTTGCAACAATGCCTCAAACAAGTGTTATGACAATTCTTGGATCATTAACTGAGGTGCCACAGACCATATGACCCCCACTCCTCAATTCTTTCATAACTATACCCCATGTCCAAGTAATAGAAAAATTATAGTTGCCAATGGCTCTCTACCTATTGTTGCAGGGTTTGGAGATATACATATCACACCTAACCTTGTTCTCAAACATGTCCTTCATGTACCAAAACTGTCAACCAGCTTTGTGTCCATTCAAAAGCTTACTCAAGATCTTAAGTGTTATGCTGTGATTTCTCCTTCTTATTATGTTTTTTAGGATCAAGGAACGAGGAGGAGGATTGGACTTGCTAAGGAAAGGAGTCGCCTCTCTCACCTTGAAACACTTCAAAAAGAAACGAGTTATTTGTCTTTGCCTTCATCTATTCTAAGTTTCGAAAATAAAGATACCAATTGGTTGTATCACTTACGTCTAGGTCATCCATCATTTAAAGTTCTAAAAATCATGTTTCCTCAGTTGTTCCAAGGATTAGATATCTCCGAGTTTCATTTATGACATTTGTGAATTGTCAAAACACACTCATATATCTTTTCTTATTAGCAATAAAAGAAGTTCTCGTCCTTTTCATTTGATTCATAGTGATTTATGGGGTCCTTCAACTATAGCTAATGTCTCTGGGGCTCGTTGGTTCATAACCTTAATTGATGATTGTACTCAAGTTACATGGCTCTTCCTCCTTAAACAAAAATTTGATGTCAGCACTGTTATACCTACATTCCACTCAATGATTCAAAATCAATTCAGGGTAAAAATAAAAAGATTTCGGACATACAATGCTCGAGACTACTTCAACCAGACTCTTATCGCATTACTTTCAAACACGTTATTATCCATGATTCTTCAGGTGTCAACACAGCCCAAAAAAATGGGGTGGCCGAAAAGAAAAATAGGCATTCACTCAATACTACCCAAGCTTTACTCTTTCAAGGAAATGTTCTTAAATCCTACTAGGGAGAGGCTGTTCTTACTACCATGTACGTCATATATAGGCTTCCTTCAACGGTGTTAGATAGCAAAAGCCCCATGGAGGTACTTAATAGATTTTATCCCCATTTTCAAACCTCTAATGGACCCACCCCTAGAGTATTTGGGTGCGCTGCCTTTGTTCATGTCCACAACCAACATAGAGGCAAACTAGACCCTCGAGCCATCAAATGTGTCTTCCTTGGTTACTCATCTACTCAAAAGGGGTATAACTGTTACAATCCCTCATCTAGAAAATTTTACATTTCGGCAGATGTCACCTTTCCTGAAAAAACACCGTTCTTTTCCAAGTCCTCCCTTCAAGGGGAGATATGAATGATGGAAGGGAGTACTTTTGAGTCCTTCGAACCAATTAAACATCTTGACTTACCTCAAGTCTCAGATGCTCTAGTCCGTGTCGAAACCGAACAAACTACATACGAGTCACCCAATCCTGTCACTAAACTCAAGTCTCCTCCTATCCGAGCCAGTGTCAATCATGATCTTCCAAGTATTACTCAGGTGTATTCAAGGAGAAAGGCCATTCCAGAACGGACACAAGTCCAAGAATCTAACTCAGACTTTGACAATGAGATCACGGTAAGACCTGACCTACCTTTACATACACACACACAAAATGTTGAAACATCTATTGATTCCATAGATGACCTGGATCTCCCTGTTGCTGTTAGAAAAGGTATAAGGGAATTCACTAAATGACCACTCTATCCCCTATCTCACTATGTTTCACTTAAAAACCTATCACCAGTCCACAAAAGGTTCATTGTGAGTTTAAACACCATTGTTATTCCTACTGTTTCTGAGGCATTGTCAAAAAGGGAATGGAGAGACACTATGAAAGAGGAAATGAATGCATTAGAAAGGAATAGAACATGGGAGACTGTTGATAAATCGAAAGGAAAAAACATTGTTGATTGCAAATGGATTTTCACATTGAAATACAAAGCTGATGGTTCCCCTGAAAGATATAAGGAACGATTGGTGGCTAAAGGGTACACTCAGACATATGAGATTGATTATCAGAAGACTTTTGCACCAGTTGCAAAAATGTCACTATAACTGGAAACTCGTTCAGTATGATGTTAAGAATACATTTCTTCATGGTGATCTTGATGAAGAAATCTTCATGAACATTCCACCGGAACTTGAGGGGGACACAGTTAGCAAGGTATGCAAGCTTAGGAAGGCTCTTATGGGTTAAAACAATCTCCTAGAGCATGGTTTGGAAGATTTGCGAGAGTTATGAAGGACTCAGGATATAAACAAAGTCAAGGTGACCACACTTTATTCATCAAGCATTTGTCTACAGGGGAAGTAAGTGCACTTTTAGTCTATGTGGACGAAATTATAGTGACTGGAAATGATGAAAGAAAAAAACACAAATTGAAGCAAAGACTAGAAAAAGAATTTGAAATAAGGAATTGGGAAAATTAAAGTACTTTGTTGGCATTGAAGTGGCATACTCTAGACAAGGAATCTTCATATCTCAACAAAAGTATGTTACTGATTTGTTGACAGAAATCGGGAAGATTGGGTGTAAACCAGTGTCTACACCAATGGATCCAAATCATAAATTGGGAGAAGCTAAAATGGAACCAGCTATTGATAAACGAATGTACCAAAGGTTGGTTGGTAGACTAATATACATTGCTCACACTCGGCCAGATATAGCCTATTCCGTGAGCGTGATCAGTTAATTCATGCATGATCCTAGGGAATCTCATCTTCAAGCAGCATATAGAGTACAACATTACTTAAAAGGCAGCCCGGGGAAAGGAATTTTGTTCAAAAGGAACAATAATCTAACTTTGGAAGCTTATACCGACACCGACTATGCAAGTTCCCTAGTAGATAGGAGATCAACTACAGGGTATTATACTCTTCTTGGAGGTAATCTAGTAACATGGAGAAGCAAGAAACAGAATGTGGTGCCAAGATCATCTGCAGAGTCAAAATTCAGGGCTATTGCTCAAGGATTGTGCGATCTACTTTAGCTAAAGATCATCCTAGATGATTTGAAAATCAAATTGGATGGTCCTATGAAGCTCTATTGTGATAACAAGTCAGCTATCAATATCACTCATAATCCTATACAACACGATAGGACAAAGCATATTGAAATTGATAGGCACTTTATTAAAGAAAAATTGGAGGAAGGATTGGTGTGTATGTCCTATGTTCATTCAGGACGACAATTAGCCGATGTTCTAACGAAAGGGCTTAACAGTTCAAGTTTTCATGATCTTGTATTCAAGATAGGAATGGAAGACATCTATTCCTCAGCTTGAGGGGGAGTGTCAAGCGAGAAAAAGGCTGTAAATAGATTAGGAAAATAATTTGTTTTTTGAAATCCCTTAATTGAAGGGATTCAAATATCTGTCTATCCCTTAATCATAGTGATTTCATAGTGATTTGGAGAACATTCTTTCCAGATTTTAGGCTGATTCAGTTTCCTATTTTTCCTCTTGTAAATTACTATATATTGCTATGTATTATTAATGAAAAGTAACAATTTTTCTTCCCACATTTTTGTTTCAGAATCATTTGGAACGATAAAACATGCAGAAAAAAGGCGAATACAATTACTAATAATAGGATCTTTCCCGAAAAACTTATTTTAAGGTAAAGCAATATAATTTTTTGAGCAGTAACTCTATCTCACCTCTTGGTACCCGCTGATGGCCGTATCACATGAACACGACGTCATCGGGGTTAAACTCAGGAAGTGAATTGTGTGGGTCTATTAGGTTTGATCAGTGTCCTCTTTGATCTTAATGCAATAGCAGTTCAAGCAACTCTCCAACAATCAATTAGATACTCCAATGCCAGAGCATTATAATTTACAATCTACATTGGCACTACCACAAGTATGTGACAAACAAGATTTTATCACTTTGTGTATTGAGCATTTAAATGAAACAACTGATTCAGTAATATAAGTTTTATCGGTCCTATCACACTATCAAAAGATCGATGGTCCACCTGACGAACCCTACAGCTGTGAAGAACTTCATTTTCTAGGTTAGAAATTTATCTTTCAAGTTGAAGAGCATATTTAAAATACTATTCCACAACCTAGTGCTAAACACTAATATCCTTAAGAAGGTATCCAGTACATAGGCATTATTCTTGAATAAAAAATAAAAAAAAATCCTAAAAATAAAATAATCCTATATTCTTAATGCCACAAAAGGGGGACAATCAGGAACAGTTTTTTTCTATTTAATTTATTTGCTCATCTCTTCGCTATGAAATTCACAGATTGCTTCATAAGGAAATCATAATTACATAGTGGGAACGTAATTAATCAAAACTAACAAGAAAATGACATATATTATTTCAAAGAAAGGCAAATTTAAATAAGATTACATTGAAAAATAAATTAAATTGTAGAAAATGAAAAATATGTTGAGATAAGTGAAAAAACTTACTTTTGACGATAATTTTGCTAGCGAGAGGGTAATCAGAATAGGAAGCACGCAACTTTAAGAAATTGGGAGGCCTGCGATTTGCATTAGATGATGATCCACAAGAAGAGTACGGGATTGGAGTTGAAGAGGAATAGAAACCAACGCTTTTAGCCATTGCAACTCAAGTCTCACTCTCTCCAAGCCCTTCTCCAATGTAAAACTTCGACGGTAGAGTAAATTTCACTGCGGTCACTGAACATTTAGTAAAATCTCAACTTGGTCACTGCATTTTACAAGGTAGTCCCTTAACATTAATTTATATAAATTAGGTAATCTTATTGTTTAGAGCATCTCCAAGAGACGATTTATTTTTAAAGACCATATTCTACAATTTAAAAAATATTTATAAATATAAAGAGTAAATTTTTTTAAGTACTTCAATGTACTCTTTAAAATTTTTTATGTACTCCAATAAATTCTTTATTTTTAAAGAGTATATTTTACAATTCAAAAAATATTTATAAATATAAAGAGTAAATTTTTTTTAGTACTCTAGCATGCTCTTTAAAGTTTTTTAATATTCCAACATGATTTTTATATTTAACACTTACTTTTACTACTCCCAAAAAATATTTAATATTTTTCTCTTTTTTTTATTTTCATTAACTTCCCTCCAAATTATATATTATTTTTCTTCATTGAAAATTATAAAGGTCAAACTCACTCTCTAAATTGAAATTTTAATTTAAAAAGTCTGTTGGAATATAATTTTAAGGGTCAACTCTTTAAAATAGAAAGTCTCTTATATTTAATGTAAGAATGAAAATGAAAAATATAATCGTTATAGACTCCACATAAAAGATGAAAATTCAAATATGGTGACTTGATATGATAGATAACGATTATATTTTTTTATTTCAATGGTCAAATAATGGGAAACAAATAGGGGCTTAAAGAGTCTTTTAGATACTATGAATACTCTTATAATTGTTGCTGTGTCATTATGATTAATAGTAATATCTCGAAAACTTAATTCGTCACTAACAATTAAGCATTAGGTGGAATGTCAAGGTGTTCTCATTAATTAACGACACGTACACACCTAATTCAAGAATGGATTATCATAAATAGGTAATCAAATGTATAAAGGGATTGTTTGGATGTGTGTGTCTTTTGAAATGAATCTTAATACGTGTTTTTATATGGTTATATTGTGGCATGCTAAAACCTAGCCCTTCTCAAATGTGGCTTGTTGACCCCAGAATATGCTGTCAACAGATATTACACGTGGACGGTCTAGAAATAATAGCAAAAGAGGGTGTGGGAGTGACTCAAAGGCACGGGACGAGAACGTTCAAAATCCGACGATATGTTTGCATAACGATTGTACAATAATTACCAATCGATCTTTGTAGAATGCGAGTATGAATTCATGTATGTTGCAAGAGAGTAAAATGTAAAGAATGTTGTATTCGTTCTTGTGTTGTATCTTGCATTACCCTTGTGAGAGACGCATGGGAGAGTATTTATAGTATTACAACTTAGATCGTAGCCCCTGGTTGGGAGTACACGTGGCCTCATCTTATAAGTCTACATTTCAAATTATAGGTATCATATCTGACATCGTAGCCTACTACACATTTATTAATTGGCGGCTCCGCCACTACATTGACAAGACAAGACACTTGTATGCTATGATGGGTGTCCCATCAATCAATCAGGAAGGATCATTGTGTAAGATCAGATCTCTGGGGAAGAGTGCTGCTTAGAGCCTTAGGACCTCGGAGTGATGGGCCTCAGAGTGAAGGGCCTCGGCTAGAACACTACTTCGGCATATTCACTTGGGCCACGTCATTGGCGTTGTAATAGTATGCTAATCTACTCATGTTGGCCTGGGGCCTCAGATAGATGCCACGTGGTTCGACAGAAGTGGGCCAGCCAAGTACAAGTGTGTCAATACGTAACAATAGTCCCCCAAGTCCAAGTATAATCATTTATGTAATGCGTGAACTTTTATTGTGGTGAAGCATGTGGGGTGAAAATTGAAAGAAATTTTTGAAGTTGAAAGAATTTTTTGCACCTTAACTAATAGTCCTCCAAATTCAAGTATAGATATTTATATCATTGTTGGAGTTGGAAGTGGTGGCGTTGCTGTTATTGAAAAAGGTGACGAAGAAGCCGAAGCGATGGGTGATCGAACATGTCGAGGCTGGTGAGGATGTGGCTGAATTGCGAAGAAGTAAAAGTAGCCGAGGCAGTGAGTGGATCGAACCTGTCGAGACTTGTGAGGATGTGGCTGAATTGTGAAGAAGCAGAAGAAGCCGGGGCAATGAGTGGATCGAACCTGTCGAGACTTGTGAAGATGTGGCTGAATTGTGAAGAAGCAGAAGAAGCCGAGGCGGTGAGTGGGTCGAACCTGCCGAGGCTTGTGAGGAGTTATGATTGTCTTCGATGCTTGTTGTGCCAATGATTTGATGTTTCGCGCACGTTACCAAGATAAGGCAATCGAGCCGTTTCAACTTTCAAGGCACGTACGACTGCTGCATTAAATGTGCAATGATGGCTGCAACTGGGGCTTCTAGAAAAAGACGCACTTGGAGAGGTGCATGAGGAGCACATTTGAATCTGATGCGTAGATTTCAAAAACGATTTGAATTCTACGCCTCAGATTTAGCCTTGAATTGAAGGGGTAAGATTTATGAGGCTCCAATCCAAGGGCTGGGATTCGTCCTCGCTTCATATAAAAGGGCAAAGACTCCCATTTGAAACCCTTCTTTGTCTTTTGATCTCTGCAATTTTCTTCTGACATTTAGAGTTTTTCGGCGTTTAAATCTGCTTCGATTCCATTTTTCGGCTTCCCTTGGTTTCTTTAATCGTTCAGTGTAGGTATTTCTTGCGAGAATCATTTATTTTGCAATCTTTGTCGATTTTCTAAACTTTTTGATATGGAGTCCACTTCGAGTAAAGAATTGGTGACCATAGTTAGGTTAGGTGAGGGGGCTGTTTTGAGTGGTGATTCTGAGGTGGAGTATTATGCCATGGTCGAGGAGCCTATAGATTATGAGAAAGAATGAGGGGCTGCTGGGATAGCATCAAACATGACCTTGAAGAAGTTGGAGAAAATTAGAGAGAAATATTGTGTCCCTCATTATGTGGAGATGTTAGTTCCCGAGGTCCACGAAAGGGCTTATTTTTCGAGGCCTGAATATGTGGTTGTAAGTAAATACCTATTCAAAGCAGGTATGCATATTCCTCTGCACTCCTTCTTTATGGCTATGCTTAGGATTTTTATGTTATCACCGACCCAAGTTCTGTCGAATGGGTAGAGCCAGCTAGTGGGGTCATACTTCTTGTGGAAAGAAGTGTCGTTAGGGAAGGATATGCTTCTACACGTCTTTTAGACCCTTTTTCAACCTCGCGTCTTAGGTAAAGACGAGTCGAAGGGGTAGTATTTTATCACACCCTGGGGAGCTCACGCACCCTTTGTGGTGGGGCTTCGTTCTTCCATCAAAGGATGGAAGGAGTCGTGGTTCTGGGTTCGGGAAAAGTGGCAGCGGTTGAAGGGGACAAAACCGTGGCTTGCACAGTACCGACCCAATACTACTAAGCTCGTGAGTGCCCAAGTTTGAGATGTTTACATTTTGCTAAGTTTCTCAATTTGCTAACTGTTGCCATATATTTTGTAGGTTCTAGCACGAGGTTTGAGCTGAGCAAGGGGGAGTTCGAGATTATAGAGGACATACATAAGCAGCCGTTGAAGTTTCGCCACTTTGACCACCTCATTGACCGAAGTCGATACTTCGTAGATTTCGAACTGATGGCTTCTAAGGGTAAGAAATATGTCCACTTGATCAAATTTGTACTTGATTGATATTCACTGTTGACCTATTGCGTCTTCGCAGATAAGTTCAAGGAAATGGAGTATCCCGTCCCTGATATGGCTTAAATTCTGAGAGCCACCTCTATGGCCAGGGCGAGGCCTCTGAAGCCCAGCTTCGATGCGGCGAAGGAGGTCAGGAGTCAATTGGAGAGGCTGTCCAAGGATAGCAGCTCTAGGGGGTCCGGAGAAAAGGCCCCCAAAAGTCTAAGAAGGCGAAGGAGACTCGGGGCAAAGAAAAGGTCCCTGAGGACTCCCACAAGAAGAGGAGGCTGGTTTACGTCGCCAGCTCTTCCGGGAAGTTCAGGACATCAGTGTCCCGTTCAAGCAAGGATGCCCCTTCTTAGCCGAAGTGGCTAGACTCTGCCATGAAGGCAGTGAAAGTTGAAATGATGAGGAAAGCTGAGGCTAAGGAGGCCAAGGAGGAAGTTGCCAGGAGGGCAGCAGAGGAAGCCGAGGAGGAGGCGGCTAAATAGAGGCCAGCCAGGACTCAAGGAAAGTCTCCCAATTTTCTTGCGGGGCATGATGAGGTGCTGGTGTTGGCTTTGTTGGATGTGCTACCCGTTGAGGTCCGACTTTCGAGGCGCCACAGAAAGTTTTTACAAGTTATGGACCAACCAGTGGCAGATGCATGCCTCAAGCAACGATGTGGTGGACCTCACTAGGGCTTTGGTAAGCCAAAGTGGGAGGACTTAGGGCCTCGCACTTGAGTGCAGGGAGACGCTCGTCGACTTTCAGACGAGGAATAAGTCCTCCAGGGACAAGTTGGCCTCCACTGAGGAGAAACTAAAAAAAATAAGGGCTGAGGTGGAGGAAAAGAAGGCCTAAAAGATTGAAAATGAGGCCAAGTTGGAATCCACCTTGGCCCAAATTGAGGCTTTGAAGAACGAGGTGTACGAGTCTCAATGTGAGGTGGCCTCCCTCACTAAGAAAGTAGAGATATCTAATAATCACCAAAAGGTGATAGCTGAGGCCCTGGAGCAGGCTAATTTAGAGCTGACCGGGGCCAAGGATGCGTACAAATTTTTGAAAGGCCAAATAAAATGGCATGTCGACGAGCTGAAGAGGGCAATGGAGGAGGCCCAGGTGGCTAGGTATGAGGCAGTTAAGGATTACACTGCCAACTTCCACCTTACAGAGGAGTATCAGCGCTTCGGGTTGTATTGGAAGAACTTTGCCTATGCTAAGGTGATGGATAGGGTTGAGGAGCTTCTCCCAAACGTCAACCTATCATAACTGAGGTCGGAGTTTGTTCATGAAGTTCCTTAGACGCCTGCTGAGAAAGCAGTCGGTGATAAAACGATCGAGGATAACGAAGCAGACACTTCTGAAACTCAGGCTGCGAAGCACCTGTTGGCAAAGCACTACCA